GAGTGGACCATTTCTTCACCCAATGAGATCAAATATAAAGACCTATGAAGACCTTCTAATAATACTCCACGGTGTTGGGGCAGTTGCGGGAAGCGGGAGGCACTGAGTGCGATATGGTCGTGATTCGTGTCCACTGCACCAAACCCTTGTGACATATATTCCTCGCCCCTACTCAGCGGACTCTGGATCCGCTCCTGCTAGAGAGTGCCGCCGTCGGGGAACGTGATACTGGAGCTGCTGCGCCCTGGATTGAGACGCACTCGCTCGACACCAGGACGCGCGGGACGCTCCGGCGGCCTGCATGGTCTGTACAGTGAGCTGCCCGCCGGGGACCGGGGAGGGAGCGGGCGGGAGGGTTGATCTGGGGCACTACCGCTACCGTCCTCCGGGAGGTACGGTACTGGAGATTGTCATAAGGCTCTTTCTTTCGAGGTGGTGTGGGGTGTCGCTGTGGAGAGCCGCGCACGGCCCGCTCCAAGCGGGACAGCAGCGGCGCACACGTGGGAGAACAACTGTCGGTAGGCCTCTCCTCTCCGACGCACGCCTCTCAACGACGACGTCCCCGTCCCCGGTGCAAGGACGGGAGAGCAGAGCAGGCCCTGTCGTCGGCGCTCCACCCATACCCGCATGACACTGACTCAGGCGGTGAGCCGAAAACTGATCCGATGTCCGATACGGAACAGCGAACATATAGCGCAGTCGGGCACAACCGTGATTAACAGACCGACGGTCTGTCTGTGTCTGTCCGTCCGCCCCGCCTCAGCGATCTGCTCCACTGGTGCGGAGATGACGCGCCCTTCCCTTCATTCCTCAAGAATCAACTACGACGGCAGATAAGTTCCAGGAGGGGTGCGTATACCGCAGGGTGTTACTATGAGTCCAGTGTATTAGCAGTGAATAAAGCATCCGGAATGCAGGGAACAAGAAAACGGAAGTCACCATCTTAGAGCATAGCGAGTTCCGTTTTCTTCTTCCCCGTACTCTTCTGCATTTCAGCTTTACCGGAATGCTGTATTGGGTCGTATTCTTTTAACAGGTCATTCTCTGCCGTGCGATAAGTAGCGCGTAAACTCGTACACAAATCTTTGCGTATCGTACGAAGTAAGAGCACCTTGATCCACAGCCAGTCAGCTGCGCTCCAACTCCCATAATAGACGGGCGATAAGACGAGAGAGCGCGCCAGAGATCAGTTCGGAGCGTTTGTATACTTCCTCGTCCCTCATCCTATTTAGATGTATCGATCTTGACCCTTGTTTGTTCAAATGCACGGGAAAGCAAATCCTACTTAAACCAGTTCCGAAACAGGTGCATTAGCCAAGCAGCTTGGGGAGATCAGGGTTGCTCATGACTGTTGTCTTTTGAAATCATCGCCATGTGGCCGGGTAGGGGAGAGGGACAAGGGACAGGTTGTGTTGACGAGTCATCTTATCTATTGTGCCTTGTCTGTCTTTCGGAGAATGTTCCACACTCACGGTGAGAAAGTATACCCCAGGCTTTTCATTCAAACTGAGGCAATATTAAAAGAATCTGTATGACAAACATGTAATACCGGATTAGAAAACTGTGTGGCTGCACAATGCCGTTCAAAGTGCAGCCCCTAAGCCGTGTGCGATCGAATCGGACCTCCCTCAAAGGAATCCCTTCTCAGGTACGTGAGGTGCACACGGAGCGATTACGATTACGACTTGCATTCCGATCGGATTAGCTAAATCGACGCACAGTTGGAGTTAAAAAGTTGCAAAGAGGTGCAGTGGACCCACCAAGTTTGAGATGATCTTGCCGTCCTGCGGGATGTCGTTGTTGTTGGCCAGGGCCTCCTTGTGCGCCTGAAGATTACTGGACAGGCGGCGCTGCCGCCGGCGCGTGCGCTCCGCCCGGGTGCGCGTCCAGCCGGGCCGCTGCTGCTCGGGGGGGACGCTCCCGGGGGGCGGCCCCCCACCCGGCGACGGCGTCATGCCGGTGATGAAGCCGTTGGGGCTGCCCCCGGCGTCCAGGCCGCAGCAGCAAGGCAGCTTGGCGGGGAGGGTGGCGCAGGGTCGCAGAGACGGCCCGAGGGCCGCGGAGGCAGGCTGGGCGCCGGCCTTGGGGTGGGCCTGGGGGCGGTAGTTGGCCGGGTCGGAGGACGCCGTCGGCGGCGCGCCCCTCGCGGCTCGGCACGGCGCCGTGGGCAGGGCGCGGCTGACGCGGCTGGCGGTGGAGTTGGTGCCCGCCGAGGACGAGCTGATGTCGTCAATGTGGAACACGGGCCTGACGCGGCGGCGCGCCTCGCGCGGCGAGTCGGACGGCGCGTCGTCGTCCACGTGGACGTTGCGGCGCCGCGGGAGCGGCAGGGCGCGGGGCGCGCTGAAGAAGACGCGGTACTGCTCTCCGCGCGGCTTGTCCACGACCTGGACGACGGCGTCACTATCGTCGTCGTCGTCGTCCTCGAGGGGAAGGCTCACTGTTCGCGGAGGGTCGTCCGTGTTGAGCTGCACGCCGCCGAGATCCACGCCGCACTGCCCTGGCCCAGCGCGCGGCCCGGAGGTCGCCGCTGACCATGGGCCCAGGGGCCTGCCGGGGCTGGTGGGGCTGGCGGGGCTGGCGGGGCCGCCGGGCCCCGAGCCGAGCATGTCGCCGAGCGTGGCGGTGGCACCGGCGAGTCGACACCCTTATCAGACACACTGCCGCGGGCGGCGGCACGACGCAGCTTCCTCGTCGCGTCGCCGGCTCTCGGGGACAGACAGCAGCCTCCTCGCCGACCGCGCGCCCCGGACCACCCGCACCACCTCGCCCGTCCCCGCCCTGCCCCGCCCTACCGCCGCGCCCGACACCGCGCCCCGCCCCGCCCTTCACAAACTGAGCCGAGCCCCCAAAGTCTGGCCTATCC